CTCCCACCCCTCCTCCCCCCCCCCCTCCCCCCTGCCCCCCCCCCCCCTTTCTCCCCTCCACCCCCTCCCTCCCACCACCACCACCATGCTGCGCACAGCCATCGCCATCCTCCCACGCCGCCCTGTCCACGCTGCCCTCCTCCACGCACACGTCGTCGTGGACCGCACCCTCCCACCCGCTCCTGCCTCGTCGGCTCCAACTCCGGCACCAGCACCGCTGGCCCTCGTCGCCGCAGGCCTCATCATGCCCGCCCCGTCTAAGGAACGCTCCGAAGACGCCATGGTTGTGGAGCCCGAGCATGGCGTTCTGGCTGTGCTGGACGGCGTCGGCGGCTGGGCCTCGGTCCCGGGCGCTAACCCGGCAGAGTTTGCTGCCCGCCTCGCCGACGCGCTCCGCGCTGCAGCTGCGGCGGGCGCTGCTGCTGATGCTGATGCTGATGCTGATGCTGCTGCTGCTGATGCCCACCGGGTCGTCGACCTTGCCGACGCCGCCGTTGCCTCGCTCGACAAGTCGACCATCATGCTCGGCTCGTCGACGATGAACGTGGCACGCATCGGCCGTGGCGCCTCTCCCGAGCTGCACATCTACAACCTGGGCGACTCGCAGGCTCGGGTCCTCGCCCGCACCGGCGATGACGGCTACGCCATTGTGGCGAGCACTGAAAACGGACCGTCGTCGCAGATTGTGTTCAACATGCCGTACCAGGTCGGCCGTAACGGCAACGCCGTCGACGACGGCTCGCTCTTCTCTGTCCCGGTCGCCCGCGGCGACGTTGTCCTTCTCACCTCGGACGGCATCCACGACAATCTGTTCAACAACCAGATTGTGGCCGTCGTTGACTCGCTCCTCGGCGCCGCTTCGGGCCCGCTGCAAGACCTCCCACACGACGAGCTGTCAACTCTGCTCGACGCCGCCGCCGCCCGCCTCATCATTGACGCCCGCTTCCACGCCGAGCGCGACGCGCCGACCCCGTTCTCGCCGCACGGCGGCAAGCCCGACGACTCGACTGCTGTTGTCGCCGTCGTCGTTTGAGCCACGGTGCAGGTTGCTTCTTGTGTCCACGCTGGTTTACGCTGTCTCCTCTGCATCAGACTCGCTCCCTGCACGATCGTTGCCGCCGTGCGTCGGCATGTCATAGCCAAAGAGCCCATTGAGCAGGGCCATGCCACCTGCTGCTTCGTCGTCATCCAGTACTTTGGGCGCCATAAAGTTGGTCAGCTTTGGCTGGACGTTGAAGCGGAGTTTGCGGCCCTTGGTCGCACGAGTGTCGACCAACTTCTTGCCAGCCTTGTGCCGCTCGAGCTTCTGCTTGCGCGCGAGCCACGCTCGCGACATGGCCACCGGATCAAGCCCGGCCTCGCCGCCGGACCCGCCCACAGGCTCGTCCTTGGAGTTGCCGGTCGTGATGAGCTGCTGCAGCAGGCGCTGGTAAAAGTCGGCGTCGTCGTAGACGTGGACCGACCGCCGCTCCATGTCGCGAGCCTTGCGCTTCCGCGACTTGCGCTTACCAGTCTCGTCGTGCGCCACCACCTCGTCATCGCCCGTCTTGTACCGCCCGTCGCACGAGAGCACCGTCTCGGGCGCCCGCAGCTTCTGGCTCGTCGCCCGGAGTGCCGACGAGTCGCGGAGCTGGTCGTGGATTTGCTCCACCAGCGGGCGGTGGAGCGTCTTGAGCTTCAGGTTCTTGAACGACATGCCGCCGGCAAGCATGGCCTTGCGGTTCCACGCGTCAATGACAGCCTCACAACGCGGCTTCATCGCTGCCTGCCGCGCCGCCAGCGCCTCCCACAGCTCGTCGAGATCAACCTCGGCCGCTGCCGCCACGTCGGCCCGCCGCAGGTTCTCGCGCGGGTGCGACGGCAGCGGCAGCGGGACAAGCTCCAGCGGCGCGGCCGTCGCCGCCTCGTCTCCGCTCAGTCCGTTCGGCGCCTGTGCCACAAGCTGGTCCTCCAACTCGCCGAGAACAGCCAGAGTCCGCACCAGCTCGGCACGCGCCTCGGCCGCCGCCTTGGCCACCTTGGGCTCCCGCGCCTCGAGCGCCGGAAGCACGCCGGGCTCCGGCAGCCGGTTGCCGAGCTCAAGCGGCTGCTGGAGCGTCACCCGCGACTGAAGGACCGCGCTGTGGATCCGCGACTGCGACAGGGCCGCCCGTGCCCGAACCATCTCGTCTTCGCGCTGCGACTTGAGGTACGCCACGTTGGACGCGTTCGACGACTGAAGCTTCAGCATCTGTGCCTCCATCGCCTCAAATGAGTCCGAGTGTTCGCTCTCGGCCCCGCTCTCGCTCCCCGATCCGCTACCGGAGCTTTCAGACATCGAGTCAAACTCGAGCTGCGGCTCGTAGCCGGCCATCGGCAGTTGCGACGAGCCCGAGCCTGAGCCCGATCCCGAGTCTGAGCCCGAGCCTCGCCGCTCGCCGCGGTCAAAGACCTTGCGCGAAGAGACAACCTCTCCGGCGTAGACGCCTTCGTTGAGAGCGATGTCTGGGCGGATGCGATGGCGAGCATCGTTGACACCCTCTTCGACCGAGTATCCAACGGCAACCGTATCATCATCGTCGTCAGAGGCCCTATCAAAGCGGGTCATACGACGCTTTGCAGTCGCAGCCGCACCGTCGCCGTCCGACTCTGACGACGCTGCGTCGTCGATGCGGCCGGTGAAGGTCAGATCCTCGGGGTCATAGTCGCGCGGGGTAGGGTCGGCCAACTCGGCCAGCTGGTCAGCGAGGGACTTCTTCCCTGGGCCTGTAACCAAGCCCATGGCACTTGTGTCATCATTCCCGGAACTCCGTGTGGTCTTGGACTCTCTCTCCTTTCTCTTGCCCTTGCTCTTGCCCCGTCTCTTCTGCGACTTGGTCATGTCGCCGGATGGATGCAGGAGTGGGGGGGGGAGGGGGAGGGGGGAGGGGGACCGAACGAGGGTGGGGATGGGAAATACTAGCTGCCTGCTGAGTCTGGACAGGAGAAAGAGGTGCAGAAGCTATGTATACGTCTGCTTGCGCCTGCCTCTATCTGCTTGCTCGCCCTGCTGTGGGTGAGGTGGCTGTCAGCCGGAGCAGGAGCGGGGCGAGGGGCTGGGGCGAGGGGCGCCATGCCCAGCCGGCCTTAGCGGGGTGATCGGGGAAAGTGACCGACCGACTGGCTGGTTTCCGCGGCGGGGGGGGGGGGGGGGGCGCACACCCAGACCGAAGCAAAAGGCTGCTGCTGCCACCTGCACCTGCACCACCCTTCACCTCCCTCTCTTCCTCTCGCACATACCCCATGCGTAGAGGTCGAAGCAGGTCGGGCGCCACTACGGCGTACGTGGGTGGAGCAGAACGGTCGCCGCCGCCCCCACCACCTCTGCCGGCGTCTGCGGCGACGGCGACGGCGACGGCGACGGCTTCAGAGACCGGAGTGGCCTACGACTTGACCTCGTCCATCTTAGCCTCGCTCATCGACTCGGACGATGTCGTCCCGCCGCTCAAGGCTGTCTTTGAGAACGCGCTTGTTGCTCCCTTCGCCGCCGCCCTCGATGCCTTTATCGCTTCGGCAGACGCCCAGGTCCAGGCCGTGTGCGATGCCCACTTTGCCGCCTTTACCGGCTCACTAGACGAGCTGCTGCGCATCCGCGACCTCGCCTCGGCCGTCGGCGGCCGCCTTGCCACTGTCGAGGATGACTTGGACCAGGTCGGCGAGACGCTGCTTGCCGACGCCACCCGCCTTGTCGCCGCCCGCTCCGCACGGCTCAACATGGAGCACGCCCGCGCCGCACTGAGCGCCGTCCAGGGCGCGCTCCGCCTCGTCGTTGCCCTCGAGCGCAGCGTTTGCTCGGGCGCCTTCTACAACGCGCTCACCACCCTCCATCAACTCGAGGCCGTCCATGCCTCGCGCGTCGCTCCCTTCCCCCCTGTCGCCGCCATCCTTGATGCGCACGTCCCGCGCCTCAAGGACGCGCTCGCCGCCGCTGCCCTGGCCGTCTTTACCGACTGGCTCGAGGCCCAGTTGGCTCCGCTTGACGACGCCGCTCTCGCCGCTGCCGCGCGCCTCTCGTCCACGGACGCGCTCGCTCCAGTCTACAAGTGCGTGTACATCTTTGCCCGCCTAGGCCGCGCCGCCCACTTTCGCTCCGTCTACCGCGACATGCGCTCCAAGCAGTGCGCCGTCGTCCTTGCTCCCTCCGCCTCGCTTGCCTGTCCGCCTGCCCTCCGCGCCTACCTCGCCCGTCTTGCCGCCTTTTTCCTCGTCGAGGACAAGGTCATGGCCACCACCGCCGGCACTGGCCTCATCTCCAAGGGCGAGCGCGACGCCGAGTGGGACGCTGCGCTCCCGACCCTCACCTCACTTCTCGAGCGTGCAGTCCGTGCCGCCCGTTCGCGCGCTGAGCTCGCCACCACCGTCACCGAGCTTCGAGCCTTCATCGCCTTGCTGGAGGGCTCTGCCGGCTACCGCTGCGGCGCGCTTCGCGCTCTCGATGCCACCTCGCTCTCGCTCTACGTCACCCATGCTAAGACCGAGCTCAAGACCGAGCTTGACTCCGTCTTTGCAGCCGACACTTGGGACTCGCTGGTCATTGCCACGCCCGCCGACGCCGCTGCCGTCTTTGTCTCGGCCGACGGAGCGCACTCAGCGCTCCCGGTTCTGGTCGGCGTCAACTCGCCCGACGAGCTCGACCTCCCGAAGACGCTCCCGTTCACGCGCTCGCTTCCTGCGCTTGTCTTGGCGCTCTCGGCGTTTGTGTCCCAACTTCACGCCTTTGGCGCCCATCTCGACGCCATCGACGATGCTCTCACCGCAGGCCTCGACGACGTGCTCATCAATGTGGTCGAGCCGGCCTTTGCCGCCGTCGTCGCCACCCCAGCCTCGGTCTTCCAGCTCCTCTCGGTCGCTGTCAATACCACCGAGTTGGTCAACGTGCTCGACGCGCTTGTCGCGGACATTGGATCCCACACAAGGAGCTCGAGCACCCCGCGCGAGCTTGCTGCTCGCCACGCTCTCGCTTCCACCCTCGCTGCCACCGAGGACGCCATCCACGCCGCCGTCGGCGCCAAGATCGACATGATCCTCTCGCTGGCCGACTACGTCTGGGTTGGCGGTCCGCACCCAACTTCGGACCAGCCCTCCAGCTATGTTCCGGACCTCATCGCGTACCTCGAGACCATGGTAGACTCGGTCGCACGCGTCGGGCGCCATTTTGCGCTTGCGCTCGAGACGCGAGTCTTCAAGCGCGTCGCTGCCGACCTGCTTGGCGGGCTCATCGGCTCGCAGGCAACCTCGTTTGACGCCGCTCTCCTGGCCACCATGGCCGTCGATGTCGCCGCTCTGCAGGCCTACCTCGGCGACTCGCCGCTCGCCTACTGCCTCGCCCCGCTCCAACAGATCCTCGACGTTGTCCTTGTCGAACCGCCAAGCGCCATGCTCGCCCTTGCCGACCAGCCGCTCGGTGTTCCGGGCTCCCGCTACGACCAGCTCGACGCTACCATGCTTGTCACCGTCCTCTCGCGCTTTGTCGACCCACCCTCTGCGGCGGCGGCCGCCCCTCCTTCCTCTTCGCGCCTCGCCATCTTCAAGTCCAAGTCCAAGGCCAAGGCCAAGGCCCGATCGCCGCGTGCCGCCGCCGCTGACGCCCTCTGCAAGGCGCTTCGCAAGCGGTTGAAAGCCTCGCGCACAAAGTAAACCATTTTGCGCTCCGCTCCCCACTATGCTCGCTCCCCGTACCTGGCTGACGGCATAACTCATCGTTGGCCACCCGTCTCTTCCGGCCATGGCGTCACCTGCCACTGAAGACAAGCCGTTCTCCCTCGACTCTGAGGGCGAGGCCAATCCGCTGTCATGGCTGCTGTTCCAGTGGCCCCAGCCCATCATCTCGTACGCCCCCCCCCCCCCCCCTTCTGAAAAAAAAAGCATAAGGTTTTTCTTTCGCCCCGAAAAGCCCACCGGCCGACCGTGTTGCCAAGATCACCGCAGAATATTTTGACAGCGCTCCATTGTCTATCCATAACATAGGCTCACGGAGGTTCCCCCACCCTGCCCCCGCACCTCCCCCCGCTGTCGAAGCACCCATAAAAATTAATGCAAAGACTGCCACCCCGACGACAAAGGTCGCTCTAGAAACGAACGAATGGGCACATGACTT